GTGGGAATCGCGCATCGATGTAGGGCCAATAAATTTATTAAAATATATGGTTCCAACTTTAATATTTCTTTTGGCTAGTGCACCTTAAAATGTATGAATGCAATTTTAGTGTATACGAGGTCGTTCAATCTAAAAGCACTTATAGACATAAAAAAACGTTAGTAAAGTCCCAAGTCTAAACTTCCCTAACTAATTAGTTTACTATGTGAACATTGGAGCTACTATTAAGTTTGGTTGCAAAATTTTGGAATATTAGAGAAGGATTTCAATGAGCAAAAGATAAAGGAATCACCAATTATTTGAGAGTCAAATTTTACACTAATAGATTTGGATGTATATCGTATATACATGATTTAAATTTAAAATTTGAATTCACGTTATGTAAACTTATTGATGGGGTATAATTTATTATTAAATTTATGATTAATTTTCTTTTATCCTTACCAAATATTATTTTAATGGTTAGATTCTATTTATTTTGGTATTGCGACCTAATTATAGAGGTGGGGCTGAAAAATGCTAAAAAAGGAGAATTTCTTTAAACATGCTGTAAAGTCCGGATTCTCTGGATTGCGTGCAGTGAGAAGCTGTCAAGAAATTGACAAATCTGGTTCTAAGTTGTGCAACCAATTCTTTCCCTTTGCTGATTAGTAGTTTACTAGTATAGGAAGCAAGAAACAAGGAAATCTCGTAGTTGCCTTTATCCTTTTGTTTTCCTTATTCTGTTAGGACTGACTAGACTATAGACTAGTCATTTAGATTAGTTTCAGGGCGATTCTTTTTGTCTCTTTTTTGAGGCCGCAAGACAGGAGTATAGGTTCTCTTCATTCTTTTACTTTTGCATGAAAACATATAACTTTGCTTTTGGAAAAAGATTTGGTGTCCATGAAATCTACTTATTGGCGTGAGAGCATTTCTATGAGGGCGGCTAAATTCTTAATCTAGTCAGAGATCAACTCAATGACATAGTTCCGAACATATGTGAGATCGAACTAATCTCAACTTGTTTCTTTAATTTATTGATATTTGTGTATTTTCTATTTTAATTCTTTGAGATTATTTCGTTAACTGAATGTCTAGGACTCGATATTCAAAGTGACCTAATAATTTATTGTTAAATTAATCAACTAAATTCATAATTGTTTAGTTGATTAATATTAGTGGTAACTAGCATTTACACACGTTAGGAGAACGTACAATCTAATTTAAATAACTCTCTTCGTGTGTTATTGATTAGGGTTAGGCTTTTCTAATTCTTAATGCAATTGAAAAATTAAATTCTACGGTCATACCTAGAGTTATTTCCTGGTTAGGGGTGATTAATGGTCATACCTTGGTCATCAATTAACTAAGGAAAAGTTGGTCATCAAAACTTATTAACGACTATAACTAACCTGTTAATGAATTGAGCGAACCATCTTTGCATCAATGATCGGATAAATAGGCTGTGTCTGCAAGGATATATTTTTTACTAGAGTTTGTCTACCATTGATTTAATCCCTGCTTCGTGAATTATTTTTATTAATTGGTTATTTGTTTAATTTTATCTCTGATTGAGTTGTTTAATTGTCCTTGATTTTACAAAATTCCCCCTTTCTCCGTACTCTAGAAGAAACAAATCTTCCCTAGTCTTCGTGGATTCAACCTTACTCATCGCTATATACAAAAATTGTATCTTTCTCGAATAGATATTTATTATTGTACAGGCTCGACACTTGTTACTTATCACGATTTAAACCTATTTTGAAAAAAAAAAAAAAAAAAGAATTACACATTGACAGTGTATAATTTTTTTAGAATTAATCTTCCATACACTGGCTGTCAACGTTGAATGAATGACAACTATGCAAATTTTGAATTTGAAATTCAACTTTTGCACACATGCCATAAATCCAACGGTGACGGTATATACACTATTAGTGTATATAAGATTTATTTATTTTTTAAATACTAGCAGATTTAGATCATAGCACATAATAGAAATTTAAATTTGAAATTCAAATCATACATATGTAGCACGCATCCAAAATTGTTAGTTTAAAAAAATCGCTACACTGATGAAAAGTTAATCCCAAATTTAAGGGGACAAAACTTGTTAAACGGAAAGTGTGAAGTACTAACTCTTCGTGTGGGCAAATTAGTGGCATATTGCATGTCCTCCACTCAGAGGATCGGGGTCCTAGTCCAATACTGTCATGGAGACTGGAACATGTATGTGGATTTCCTCTAAAATTAGGGTGCTCAATCAAATCCATCCGTAACCCTTTTGTAATCAATCACAAATTGGGTGAGGACCAATTGTTTGTCCAGATTTATTAAGCGTTAACTGCTAAAGACCCAATTAACAGATATTTGTAAACATAGCATCACTTCTTCTATTTTCTCCACAAAAAAAAAAAAAAAAAGAAAGAAGAAAAACCAAAAAGCCAATTCAAAGTTAAGGCATTGGAATAGTATGCTGCAGAATTACAGATATGTAAACTTTCTTTCCATCCCCTATTTCTTACTTTCCCAAATCCATGATCCCAACCATTCTATAGAGTCTATGATTTGTTCCTTAGTTTTTCTGTTGGCACTATAGGAAATTAGGAATACTAGTGACTCCCAAAATATGTCCAGCTACCAACATCGGTACTTTTGACAAATCTACAGTAGCACTTTCTTTATCCTTTCTATTATGCATATCTGAAATTGGTAGCAGTAGTTGGGCGATATTCTTCTCATTCACAGGTCACGGCTTCTCATTTGTTGTTTCTATGCCATATGCAAAATGAGGTTCCATGCGTCCTAGTAGCGATTTTTCTTGGTAGAGTTTAGTTAGGGTGGATTTGAATTCGTTTGACAAAGTCGTAGTTCAGCAAGAAAGCCAACCAACTAGTATTCTCTCCCCCATTTATTGTCCAACAACATCTAATCAAACTTATTATAATCTTTCAAGTATTCCCTATAAATAGAGATACTGGAATCGTATCTCTCATTCAACTCGCAACATCGATCAAGAATTTGCTAGTCATTGGTGAAAATCTAGTAAAATCTTCAACTTTAAGCATCAATCTATCAATGGCTGCTAATTCCAACTTCTGCTTTGTTCTATCGTTGATGATGGCATTGTCTTTTTCAAGCATTCATGTAGGCGAGGCGGCTCGGCACCTTTTGCAAACTTCCCAACCAACAATTCCTGCCATACCTTCAATACCATCATTGCCTTCCATTCCAAATTTGCCTACAGGGTCATTGCCAAACTTGCCAAACAATCAGCTGCCACCTCTGCCCACCATGCCTGCAGTTCCTAAGGTGACCATGCCACCATTGCCTTTTGGTTCATTGCCAAACATGCCAAACATGCCAACTATTCCCAATATCCCTATCTCCATTCCTTCAATCCCTTTCTTCTCACCACCTCCATCAAACTAGTAGTTTGACTTGAGATTTCGATATTCCAGGGTGTGGCATCCTTTTCTTCCTCAAATTCATCATTGTGTTGTGATACTAGCACTATGTTTCTTTCGTAATGTTCGTGTTTCAAATTTATCACTTAAAAATTCCCTGGATTGTAATTTCTGCATTTGGTATCCACTGAAATGTACTTGTATATTTACAATATTGCTGTTGTATTGGAGATTGCTGCTATTTTAGCAAGTTATGATCTTAAATCTGGACTTGTAAGCCCATAAAAACACATGCAACTTTTACAATTTCAATCCTGAGAGTTAAGAAAAGGCCAGGCAAATACTTAGAATATAGAGAATTTAATTAAATCCTCCAACTTCCTTTTTATTGATTTGTACCCTAATATGATTTTGGAAAAAAGGAACTGTACGAATTTTTGTTTCAAATCACGTAAAGGAATATGAAAAAGGGAAAAGAAGAAATTACTCCCTCGTTATGTTTTGGAGAAATAGAAAACTATGGCCATAGATTCAGATTAAAAATGGAAGACATGGATAGAAACACTATTTTAAACAGACAAAAAATTGTAGTTTAAATTGGCTTGAGCAATTTAGAATTCAATGTAGGAAACAAATGGGATATATGATGGAATGAAATGCAGTATATGTACACATTTTGATTGATTCCAATTTGACTTTGATCGAAGCAGAATCATCAAATCAATGAGTAATTTAAAAAAAAAATCAATTTCAAAACTTCATTCTTTTTTGTTCTATTTCCCTTTTGTTCCTTTAGAATTTTCTTCCAATATACTTTGAGATAACAGGGCAACAATAATCCTCCATCGGCGGTAAGCACTATAAAATGCTATTTTGAAGTAATTAATCAATTCCTTAAGGCAAAGCTCTGGATTAGTAAATACAAGATTTTAAAACAATTCCTCTTAAATTGGGAAATTAAGCTCGAATTCCTTTTAAATTGGGAAATTAAGCTCTTATAGCTTAACCTTTGTTACATATTTACAAGATCGAAAACAATTTTGACTATCTTTTAGGGTATCTCTTACTCATATTTCTAGGTTAGTCTTTCCTTCTTTCTTTTCTGAAAATGATATTTGTAAGCTAGGTCTAAATTGTCATCATCCTAAATGGACTAATAACATAATAAGGAACAAATTGACAAGCTTAAAGGATACTTTTACCCCAATGATGTTGTATTAGTCCGTTTTCAAAATTAATAGCATATATACGGTGAGTGTATAGAATATTAACTCTTAATTATATCGCGTAATGAGTAGACAATCAAAGATATTTTTACATAATGTAAGCCTTTTTATCTTTTCTTAATTTTTCTAAAGTTACTGCATTTGTAGCTCCATTATCTATCACAATTTTACCAAATCCTTTTCCGTTTAAAACTCAGAAATCTAAACCTTTTCTTTTGAGAACTGGGAAATCTCGACACCTATATAACTCTATGCAAAGCACGAGAACCTCTTTTGTATTCATCAAACTTCCTACAAAAAGGTCTCTGTTACCAGCCTCCAAGAAGCCTTTCAGCAACTCAACTAGAGTTCAAGAAGAATAAAGAAATTTGTTAGAGAAATCAGTATGGCAGCAGCAGTAGTTTATGGTTTGTTCGATACAACAACTAGAGGCCCTTTCTACAACAGTGTTCTCGTGAGGGCACAACAAATCTACATGCAAGCTACTGCTCTACCGGTTAATTTCCTTTCGCCTTGGAGGATGAAGATCATCCTGAGAACTTCATTCCAGCCCAGAGGACCAGTATCAACCTCAAAGCAATCTAGAATCTTGCAAGCAGGATGAGGATCATCCTGAAAATATTCCACCACCACAGGAGAGAATTCAACACGGTGGCCACGGTAATATTCTTCAAGCACATGAATTTGATGGTTATGATGATGACGACGACGATGATTATGAGTATGATGATTTACATGGACAACTGGTCCAACTTAATAATGGGGAGATTGTCAGGCTTGGGGATGCATTTGCTGTAATCTATGAAGATTTGGGCCAACAAAGTAATCTGTACCAAGAAATAATCTCAGAGCATCTGCAAACTATAAAGTACCAAAAACTTGCTAAGCAAGACGAAGATAAAGATGAGGCGGATGAACTTTGCGTAATATGCCAAGATGGATTTGAAAGCGAAGACATGTTGGGAACTCTAGGATGCCAACACGAGTTCCATGCCGATTGTATAACCAGATGGTTGCAAGTGAAGAATGTCTGCCCAATCTGCAAGCGCATGGCAGTTCATCATCAAGGAAACTAAGAAGTTTTTGGCACATCGTCCCAAACAAAGAAGTTTTATTGTCCACTTTGTTCTGCCAAGGAAGATGGCTTTTGATCATCTTTTGATCACAACAAGTCTATCTGTTTCTGATCAAGTGTAGGTCTCGAGGGCATGGTTTCATCACTACCTAAGTACATAGTTACTGCAATTGAAATCATTATGATCAAAAGCTTGTCAACCTCCTGCAGAAACCAACTGTACATAGATGATGACTATATTTTTCTTCTTCGGTGGTGGGCTAGAGATTTTAGTGTTCAATCTGTAACCAAACCGATATTTTCGTGATTTGAATAAATCTCATATTTGTGGCATCCTAAATTGGAACAGTTTTCATGATTGTGGTTTTGCTGAAAATTACTATTTTAGCATGTGATGGCAATCTTAGTTTTAGCATGTTCTTAAACCAAGTTGATATATGGGACCTTTTAGAGTCGCATTGATCCTGTTGATGTAGAAGGAATCTTTTGGTGGTACATCTACAAGTTCTTGAGACTGGCTAAATGTCACCTTACACCTGTTTCACTCATTCATTCTTCTGAATCGGTTTCTTTATCTGTGCAATTATACATCTAATATTTACTGTACGTGTTTCATAAGTGTACATCACAATTCTATTCTAGGTATAGAGAAATTTTACAGTGATTGTTGTATTTGTTTCATTGCATTGTGTGAAACTAGATATGCACCCTCACGCCTAAGGGGTGCCTGGGACATGTTTGGAATAATGTTGTATTAGCAGTTGCTCTACTATATGCACGCAAGTGAAAGAGTGTTGCTAGGGAAGGCAATGGGGCGGGGGACCCCTCCCCATCCCCTGCCCCGCTACCTACAAACTCCCTGCCCCGTCCCCGCTCCCCCGCCCCGCCCCGCTTCCCCCGCGGGGGAATAAAAATTTGTTATATAAGTTTATTATGATTAAATTTTAGCAAATAATCAAGTACTAAAATATTAACACATCATCAAATTATTATTCATTATAATTTTACAATTGAAACTTATAAAAACAATCAAACAAAAATATTTGAAGACAATCCAACATGATGAAATAAATATAACTAAAGTAGTCAAGTTTTCACTTTTGACACAAATACAATCACTAATTCATTATTGTGTTTGTGCCTTTTTTAAGAAAAAAATATTATTGTATTAAGTGTAATTAGGGATTTAGTATAAATGTATTAGTAAATTTAGTATAACCAATTAATAATTTGTATTAGTACACATATATATAATTAATAATATCAATTATATTATATATGCTAATAGACATTATATAATACATATAACTAATAATATCATTATCATAAGTTTGTAACTAATTAAATTATATATTATATATATAATTATATATATTATTTTTTAAAGCGGGTGGCGGGGCAGGGGTGCACTCCCCTGCCCCCGCCCCCCGTTTCTAAGCGGAGGGCAAAATATTCCTCCACCCGCCGCCCCAACCCTCTCCCCATTAACCCCCTGCGGGGCGGGTGACCGCATCCCTAAGTGTTGCAGACAATCAAACCAACCTGCCGGCAAATTAGTTATTATAAGAAGGACTAGTAGATTTTTCCCAAAAAAGAAGGTGGCTGCCTTTCAGTTGAACTAAGAATAGGAAATGTTCATGTTGTCCCAAAGATGGATCATCCTCAGCAAGAACCATATAAAACCTGACTTTGCTTACAATCTTTCACGTAACTCTTAATCATTTTTCTCCAAGCGGATGAAGAGTAGTTATATGCAGGTATTAAAAAAGATGGCAAATAATCGCTCAATTTCCAGAATGCATGATCCGGATAAGCTAAAGACACACGCATAACTTCCTGCTAGGAGCTCGGTACATCATTCGGCAGTTACACACCCTATATATACACACATATGCTACCAGTTTGAATATCTTTTAAGCATGATAATCAGCTCAGACCCAGTCAGTAGTGTTGCTTATTCCTCAAAATAACTTCAAACACATTAATTGTTAACTAAGTCCATTTTTTTTAAACACATTAATTCTTCAAACTATATATTGTAAATACACTAGAATGAACATAATAAGATAAAGCTGAGCATATGTATGAATTCCTCTTAATATAAAACTTCAATGATACACTTTGTTGGTTTCAATTGTATGACATATCTTTATGAGATGTCCACGTTTTGCATAAATTAATTGTTGAGGAAATCACCGTCAGAACAAAAGAAACTAAGAAACAGAACTACAGTTTCAAGTAGAGAGATGATTTTAGCCCTAAAATGAAAAAACCCAAAACCATGTGGAAATACCTTTTTAGCTGGTCATTAATTCTGGACCATCTGCAGTTTCATTTTCCAAAAATTCCTCTAAACAATAAGATCCAAATATTTGTTTTTATGCGCAGGATTCCATGTGGAAAAGGATATTAGATACAATGATTTCACTAATTATCAGCATACAATTCTGCATCATACCACAAGTGTTTTTACAGTGTTTGCAAGAGACAGGGCCAAATGTAGCATTTTTACTTGGTGAACCAGATTGCTAATGTTTCAGAGTCTCACCAGATTTCATTCAAGCCCTCAAATGAAAAAGTCCTTATTTTCAAATTGATCTCAATTCACATCTCCAAAAGGGGTGAAACAATACTAACAATAGCATAAAAAGGGCATAATTTAAACTCGTTACTAACATCAAAAGACTGCACAAAAAATTCTGAGTGTGTAAGTAGTAAAGCCTCGTCCTAAAACAAAACCGTTAAAATGAAACTAAACAAGAAGGGCTAAATTAAAAGGATCTAGCAGTTTAAGGATTAGCATATAATCTAGTGAAACTTTAAAAGCTTCAAGAGTAGTTTACGCCAGTGTTTATTTCTCTGTCTATCATTCCAGGTCTAACCCCAGTTAAACTGAAGATTTTGTAGCTCCATATTAGTTATAAATGGAGAAATACATACAAGTTCAAGTAAATTTTGCAATGTGTGTGCAAACTATTATTAAGAACAGCAGTATGACTCATTATTGCTTGACAACCTAACTATAAACATTTATTACAGAGCTGCATTAATGCAGAAGTCTCATTGGTATACATTTGTCATCTTGTTTCACTTGAAATTCAGAACCATGTCAGGGTACTCCATTCCATCCCTCAAAGGCTGAAGTATGAACGATCCAGAAAAGAAGAAAAGTATGTAATGCCTATACTTACAAGGTGCAAGAGAATCATATCTACTCTTAATTGACGGAGCACCATGATCAAAATTGAACAGCTTTTGTAGGTGATGAGTGGCATGAGTTTGTGAATTTGCTACGGTGCATTGGATGGTAATACTGAGGAACATATCCCTCTTTGTGCAGCTCCCGAAGAAGATGTCTCAATAGCAGATAGATCTCAGATGACTGAGGATGATCTGTGTCTGCAGCAACAAACATGTGGACGCTCTGATTCACCTCAAGCCAGCTGTAACCAGGAACTTTCTGCACTCCTCTTTCCTTCATCATATTTCTTACTTTGTTAACACCTTCCCACTTTCCAGTGTCAGCATGCACATGTGATAGGAGCATATAGTATCCAGAATTTTGCGGGTCCAAGTCAAAAAGATGATTTGAAGCCAACTCAGCTAGTTCAATGTTGCCATGGACACGGCAGGCTCCGAGTAGTGTGCCCCAAATGCCCGCATCTGCAGTAAATGGCATGGTCCTAACCACTTGATGTGCTTCTTCAAGGCAACCTGCTCGGCCAAACAAATCTATTAAGCATGCATAGTGTTCCATTCGAGCTGTAATTCCCAATTCTTGGGTCATGAATTCAAAAAGTTGCTTGCCCTCCTCAACTTGGCCAGTATGGCTACAAGCAGATATTATGGCGAGGAAAGTGACATGATCAGGCTGGAATCCATCGTCCCTCATTTCATTCAGTAAAGCCAAAGCATCCTCAAGGTGTCCATGGTTCCCATAAGCAGCAATTATGCTATTCCAAGAAACTTCATTCTTGCACTCCATCATGTCAAAAACAGTACTTGCTAATTCCAAGTGTCCACATTTAGCATACATGTCTATCAAAGCGCTCTCAGCAAACAGATCTGAGCTAAATGCTCCTCGAATCATGAATCCATGTATTACTTTGCCATAACACAGTGCTTGTAAGTTAGCACATGCACAAAGAGCTGCAGATAAGCTAACAGAGTCATACTTGGCTCCTTCTAAACGCATCTGATAGAAAAGATCAATTGCTTCCTCTGGCTTTGCATTCTGGCAACAGCTAGTAATCATCGAGTTCCAAGAAACAGTGTCTTTTTTGGAAATTCTGAAGAAAGCTAGACGTGCTAGGTCCAACCTTCCACATTTTGCATACATATCTGAAATTGAACTTCCTACAAAACACCTGTCTTCAAGCCCATTTCTGAGAATACTACCATGCAACTCCCTACCCAATTTCAGAGCAGCCAAACCAGCACAAGCTGGTAAGAGACTTGCTAGAGTTACTGCATTGGGCCTCATTTTCTTATCCAGCACCCATCTAAACATTTCCAAGGCTTTAAAATCCATTCCATTGAGCACAAACCCCGAAATCATAGCAGTGCAAATGACGATATCTACAGCAGGGCAACAGTTGAAGATTTTAGATGCCATCTTCACAGCCCTGCACTTAAAGTAAATATCAATAAGTGCATTCTTCAAGAACACATCCATATTGACATTGTTTCTTAATATGTAACCATGAATTTCCTTGGCTTGATTCAGGGACTGAAATTCAGAAAACAATGAAAGTATACTTGTAAATGTGGTTGAGTCTGGTCCAGCACCCACAGATAACATTTGGCAAAACAAATCTAAAGCTTCAGGCATATGCCCACTTTGGACGTAGCCCCCAATCATTGCATTCCAAGTTACAAAATCAGCCTGCGTTATCAAATCAAATAACTTTCGCGCATCAGACAAGCATTGGCATTTTGCATACATAGCAATCAAAGTGTTAGCAACCGAAGATTCCATCTCCAACCCACATCTGACAACAT